CTACTGAGTCTTCTCGTGTCATCTACATTTAAGTCAGAAAGACCAAGGGATGGATGGAGTGATGGCAGAAGGTGACTAGCTAACACGTGGTGGGACACTGACTGTTCATCTTACATCCCTGTCTTTCTTGCTTGGCCCATAATTTTGGATGAAATGCATTTCTAGAAACTTTTGCCGGAGTGACATTCCATTTTTTGTTAGAAGAAAGCACTTAAATGAAATCATAGAAATCCTTGTGACATGTACAAGTGAAATGGATATAGACCACTGTTTCTTTCTCATCAGGTGCTATTTCTAGCTTCAAGGAGACAAAGCTGCGGGATGCTTTGCCAGAATCACAAAGGGCTGAATAGGATGCACTGAGAAAGTCGGGTTGGATCTAACAATAGGTTCAGATCTAAAGAGACCTGTCAAACACAGATGGGTGAGGCAGCGGTAGGGGTAGGCCAAGGAGGTGAGCGATACAGTGCTGGCCAAAGGAGTCTGGACAAAGAACCTAGAGGCCAGTGTTGGAGAACAATCTAGTTTTGATAGTGATCTAAGATGTGTTTGCAGAAGGATGTGGTATTGAGGCAGTGTGGGAATTTGGAGCTGAATCATGAAAAGGAGGCAAGAGGAGAAGAGGCTGAGGAGGGAAGGGCTAGCAGCTCAGGAGGGATGAGCAGAGCTCAAGCAGAAATAAGAAAGCAGAACAGGGGCTTCCCCGGTGGCGCAGTGGTTGAGAGTCCGCCTGCCGATGCAGGGGACGTGGGTTCGTGCCCCGGTCCGGGAGGATCCCACGTGCCGTGGAGCGGCTGGGCCCGTGAGCCATGGCCGCTGAGCCTGCGCATCCGGAGCCTGTGCTCCGCGGCGGGAGAGGCCACAACAGTGAGGGGCCCGCGAACCACAAAAAAGAAAAAAAAAAAAAAATTAAAAGAAAGCAGAACAGAGCACAGGGAAGACACACGGATTCTGAATGAGACGCTTAACTGACTGGAAATATAAGGGACAGCTTCCCATAAAACATGCCAAACATTCAATTGCACAAAAGGAGGAAAGGAGAGAGCTGAAGAAAGGACTGGTGGGAACAGGCAGACCAAGGGCAGGTCTGAGGACAAGCAGGAAAGAGCCAGAGGAGGTCAAAGGCCTTGAGAAGGAGACAACAGTACAGGGATAAGGGCATAAAAAGAAAGGTTATCGGGCTTCCCTGGTGGCGCAGTGCTTGAGAGTCCGCCTGCCGATGCAGGAGACGCGGG